AAAGATACATGATCCTTTTCAAAAAAATTGCAGGTTGTTTGTAGCATTGTCGCTACGTTGAACACCTCTGCGCAGCCACCGCCACTTCCTGTGGCGTGGCGATCACAGTGGGAGTTGCCACAAAAGCGACCTTTGGCGGCGTGGCCGGTCCCGCAGAACCAGACACAGCGACGTCTGGCGGCACAGCCTGTTCAGCAGGTGACGTCATAGCAGCAGGTGCTCCATCCTGAACGGACTCCACTACCGTGGAAGGTGACCAAGGATGCCGTGGAGGATCTTAATAAGGAGAATAAAAGAGAGACATCAGCTTCCCTGGTGTTTTGTTCTATTCACAACAATTTACCTTTCTGTTAAATTCCACAAGGCATTTTACTATGTCATTTTATGTGAAGAAACAATGGAAAACTATTTATATCCAGGGTCTGTTTCATGTATTTACTTTCTATCAGTCTTGCCGCGCGAACTCACACAACCACTCTGTTCAGACCAAGGAGGTTAAATACCTCCTTGTTCAGACTAACATTTAAAAGCGATTTTGGATGTCAATGAACAGTACATCTATGAAGCCTTGTAAATAGCTCCCCATTTTAGCACAAAGGCCTTGGGAGCTCACAGAGGTTGGGTGCCGACTAAAAAGTAGCTTTCTGAAGATGCAAAATTCAGTTTGACTTACTCTTTGCTCTCTCGACCAGTTTCATCTGGAACCAGTGCTGTCGGTAGAAGGGGGAGGGCACCCACTTGAATCGCGAGTCATACTCTGTACTTCCAGGGGGATGATTTCTGCCGTCTTTCCTGTTAACTGCACAAAACATATACACATTGTCACTTTAACCAATAAACACAAACCTATTTGTGATAGTACAACGACGAAAACTGAAGCACAACTAATGCCATTGTAAAATTTTAGGACTGCGAGGTCATCTGAGGTCAGCGAGTTGATCGTATGTTCGAACTCAGTGTTCCGTAGAAGATACCACCACTTGTACTTAGTGAGGGGAGAAGTGTACATATATTTCTTTTAACCATAATCAACAATTTAAGCTTTTGTGTTGAAAAAGGCAACCCATGTCGTCATTTATCATCTTATTTTTTATCAAAGAAGCGTATAAAACGTATTCCAAAATTCGAATATACTGATGTTTATAACCGGTGTCCCTCCGCCTAAATGGATCATGCCAGAAGCGACTGTTGTCAAGGGGATCGAAGAATAACATCGAACGTTCGATCTGAGACAAGTACAGAGAAAAGCAACACTACTGTTTAGGTTGAATACTTTTCGTCAGATTTTTGCCATGAGGCACAAGAGAAAGCCCCCTCAGGACGTCAGACGCAGACGTCCGGTCCTACTTAGTGAAAACTCGACACGGTTTCCGCCGAGAGAGAATGGGCAAGGCGACAGAAGCAGTGTGGGAGACAAGGAAGAAAACCCTGCTTCTGCAGCATCAAAAGCGTTTGCAGTCACCGTTTTCTGTATTTCACTCCTTGGCACAATCATCTGTATGTGTCTTCTACCGAAATACTTCGCAGCTGACTTGAAAACACAGACAAACCCCTTCATCAACGGCTTCAGGCAAGTTCAGGACGCAGGAGAGGACCTCCCCCCAAGGATAATGAAGCTATTCCAAGCACGTTGGGAATTCGAAAAAGGAAAGGTGAGTTTCAGCGTGATTTTTGTTGAGAGACCATTCGTGGCTGTCAATCAGTGAATCAGCCAATAAGCTAGCTGTATCTGGTAGGACATTGCTAGGGGGCGTGGCTTCGGGAAGGTCATCACACCGACAATCCTCGTGGACAAGCTAGGACGATATTTCCATTTCCTGAGATACGTTTGGGCATTTCTCCGTCTGATACTGTCCATGGACGTCTTCTGCATTCTAAAGCAGAGTCTGGGCCTTCTTAAAATGACTCAAGGTTGTAGACTTTCGTATAGAGCCTGAGGCGTAGTTCAAGCTTAAGTGGCTGGGGAAAGTAGTTTTGGGCCTTGGTGCTGAATTGCCATCAGCACCCGCGTTCAAATTAAACTCCTTCCACTGGACAGCTGGTAAAGACAGCGCCATATAGGTACGTGTTTTGAGGATGTTGAAACTATATGATCATTGTTTTTCAGGCGCCAAACAAACCCCTAACTGTGACAGCCCAACAGAACCATGGTGACGATGGCGACGTGAGTCAACACAATCATGACCAGACCTCTGATGTTGTAGAACTGCCAGTGACCGGTGGATGGCGGTCTTCTGATGCGACACAGCTAAAGGCAATGGAAAAATCCAAATGTCATTTTGACGTTAGATATGCTGCCAATCTCACCAAAGCAGAATTCGCAGAGACTTATCAAAACAAAGAGCCCCTGCTGCTGAAATTTTCTGGTGGTGCACAAGATTGGACCGATACGACAACGTGGACCCGTTCAGGGCTGATGGGGAAATATGGGGATCACATGGCTGAGTACGGCTACGAGGAAAGCATCAACTACAACGGTGGAAGGGGGATGGAGACGATTGCTTTAAAAGACTACGTCCAAGTTCATATAGATGTGACCAATGCCTCGGGATCGGACACGCCCTACATGGTCGACAGCGGCCTACTGAAATACCGAGAGCTGCAGGATAAAATCTATGTACCGGAGTATCTGCAATACTTCCAAAGGCCGGCAGGGCTGCTGATCATCGGTAGATCCGGCCTGGGTCTTGGTTGGCATGAGCACGGCGACGGTTGGAACGGCGTTGTCTTTGGAGAGAAGCACTGGTATGTGTATAACCGGTCGGTAGTTCCACCTGGCCTGCACAGGTACGAGCCAGCGGACTGGGAGAAGTACGTGTACAAGAAGCTGCCGTCCCACAGACGCCCACTGGAGTGCACACAGGAGGCTGGTGACATAGTTTACATCCCCCAAGGTAGGGAAAACTTTGATGCAGATGAAGTTTTTGACGTAGACATACTTCGTACGCTTAACCATCTCCAATGTATTGTAGTATTTTTCAAAGTAAACAAATCTTCAATTCGGCCGCTGTTGAAGTCAGGTCCCCTTTCCTCCACAGGTTTCTATCATAGCGTTGTGAATGTGGGAGAAACCATAGCCGTGTCCTTTAGAGAAAACCAAGTGACTCCATTACCCGGCCAAGTCCAGTTCGTGGAGGCCATCACAAAATTTGAATCGGAGGAAGCTATCCGCAAGGGGGCGGATGCACTTAGAGTGAACAACGTTCATTATCACGGAAACCCCCTCCCTGATTACGCTGTTGGAATGTTCCATATGAGGAGCGGTGACTACGAAGCCGCTTTGAAGAATTTTCAGGCAGCTCTCGCAGTGGATCATTTCAACCTCCTCGGGTAAGTAGATAGGGCCAAGCTATGCACGTCTATACTGGTGGTTAGTTAAAGACACCTGTACAGCTAATATATTATCCAGAGTGCTCGTCTTGCATGCTCGAGGCCGTGGGTTGGATTCCTGACCGAGTCATACTGAAGACTCTGAAATGATACTGCTTCTCTGTTTTGTAATCAGCACTCACATGGGGAAGCTTTTGCAAAGAAAGAGTCACAAACTATGAATTGCTTTCACGAACTTTCCATATCTACAAATAGATAGGTGGTGAACATGTTGGTATCCCTATATGCATTGCAATGTATCATTGCATTTTTACACACATTTTTGTGTTTTGAAAATATTCCTCTGGTGTTCTCTTCTGACCTGTAGACATTTAATGGTGGTAATTTAAAGGCTCAAAAATGGTATGAGGTATGATTCATTGAAATGCAAATAGAGGCTCCAACATGGCAGCGGACATAGTGATGACGTCACGTAAAACACATGATACTGGTCAATTACATTGCCATTTTTCTTGTCCTCCTGACATAGATATCTTGGTGTTACTGATGCACTATCAAAGCTGGGACGTACGACCGACGTGGAGATGTACTTTGCAGAAGCCATGAATACACACAAATCGTCTGTACAGTTATATGAAGAGTACGGAAAATTCAGACAGGCCCTAGGTGACCTGGGGACCGCCATACACGCGTACGAGACGGTTTTGGAACGACGCCCTGGTAGGGAGGACCTCTACAGGAAAGTATTAGCATTGCAGAAAGATTTGGTCGAGACTAGTTTTGACTGAGTGATACCTCGTTATTAAAGCATATTGTCATTGGACAAGATAAGCTTTTTCCCCGCTTGTTTCATCTCAGCGTTTGTTGCCAAGTTAAGTTGCTGAGGTCGTTTGAACTGTCGATTAATTTCTGATTAAATGTAGAATTGTTAATGGTTACTGCCATATCTATTGTCGACAATGTGTGCCTCAGTATCATCATCATCGAGCGTATTTCAATGGATGGAAGAATGTTACTGATTTAGCTTCAACCAAGAGTACCGTAATGTGTTAAAAATCAAGTAGCTTCCAGGGATCTTTGACTCATCACCTAGTCACATGTTCTTTGGGTCACATGATCACAGCACTTGGTCATTCTAATTTGTGTTTATGAATGTTGAAGTTGTTTATTTGTGTGTGAAAAAATTAAGGTTGAAAAGAGAAAATTAGATTAAACACAGCCCAGGTTAACCGTTATCTGGTAATATATATAGTAGAATGACTGTATACTCATACAATGTTACAAGAATGTAGATTGGTACTCACACAAATAAGGCTGGAAGATGTAAGCCTCTGGGAACACCTGTGTGGAGTCGGACAGCAGGTCAACCGTGTGTGAGCGGCGGCACTTCTTCACCTCCAGGTGCTTGGGGAAACCGTACCGGTCGTACCAAAATATCTCTGAGGGGGAAGAAAGAAAAACATGATATCTTAGTCATCTCAAAGAGTATGGTTTTGATAGAGCTCACATGTACTTCGACTCTCTCGACCAAACGTATGTATATGGTTATTAACTTTGTCTTATCTCTTTTTGTCTTGACTGAAATGCTAAAGTGGTATGATATTAATTAAATAACCTTATGGTCATAGGGGATTTAGAATCACCAAGTCTTTACTGCTTAAAGATTTGTTTGACACTCACGTGGTTTCTTGGGGAAGAAATCATCCAGTGATTGCCGACTCCCGGGTGTTGTCCTGCTGGACGGGAGGTCCACGTCAGGTGACGCCGACTTGCCAGGTGGACTAACAGGTTTGGATCCTGGCGGGCTCACCTGTTTGGATCCAGGTGGGGTCACCTGTTTGGATCCAGGTGGGGTCACCTGTTTGGATCTAGGTGGAGTCACCTGGTAAGATCCAGGCGGGCTCACCTGTTTAGACCCAGGTGGCGTGATTTGTTGGAAACCTTGCGGAGTGACCGGTTTGGACCTGGGCGGGGAGTACTGTGTAGACCCGGGAGGACTGAAGGATGCGGAGCTCGGCGGAGTCGGGCCGTAGGACGCCGGGATCACAGGGAATCTCACTCTTTGGTTTGGCTGGAAATAAAATGGAGAAATGTAAATAGGGACACGAACGCAAATACAGGGGACATCACTTTCTCGTCTAAGGTATCACAGTTAAATACCACCCATACTCTAACCTACATGACATGGTTATAAAGGACATTTGACTGACCGTGAATAGCCTGCGGGCTGTCCCTGCCTTTGCCCCCAGCTGAGACGATCTCCCTGACGTCAGAGTTGTACCCGGTGCAGCTGGGGCTGTGGACGCCCTAGACCTGTGGGGCCGGGGGCCGGGGGTCATTAACATTAGTTGTTTTTTTGTTGTTGTTGGAAAATACTACAGACGTACCCAATAAGTCCAGCATAAGTTAAGTAGACAAATGTAAGGATTACGTAACATTACAAACCCTAGCATTCGTATGGGAACAGTACACAATTCAATACAACTATATTAGTAGGCAAATCTAATGTGAAAGGTAAATATATACAGGTTCTTAGATGACGCCATGATTGTGATAATTTGATGTATGATATAGATGGGCTTACCCCCGGCCAATTGGTGTAGCAGCTTTGAACATAGTTGTTTTATCCTTGCGATGATAACCTCACATTGTCACCTGTGAACAAAAAGTCAAGTTTGGGTAAAGTAGGCACAGCATATGGCATGTTGTAGTTACGGTGTTGTCACATTCGTCGTAGGCCATCGTCCGATTCTCGGATGTAGAATTTCAAGCAGAACCAGCCGCTGACAAGATTCTAAGACAGCAATTTCTGGAACAAAACAACCAATTGCGATTGTACGACGATATTGAGGCGACTGTGGCCAGGTCCTTTGACACAACTACGACAACGTACGTATGACAAAATACACAGTCGTAAGCATTACATTTCCAGTCTAAAGATAGACGTCGCTCACCCTTTTCCACCTTTGGACAATAGTATGTGTAACAACATTATTGTTAATCCTCCGTATCAATGTCCGAACCACAACATTATGTTCGACCAATGTGACGCCCACTTCATTTAAGAACGGTAGACAGAGTAAGTTGCTACATCCAAGGAGGTTAAAAGTCTAGATTTTTAACCTCCTTGCTGCATCCTAGTTTTCTGATGTATACAAAAATTCACCCTAGCCTGGCTACCAAGACAGAGTTTGACTCGGATAATATGGCACCTACCTTTGTTGACTCAACAACTGTTTGAAAAGTTACCCCCACGACTACCAACTAAAAAGTACCTAGGCCCACACGATCAAATAAAACGGAAATTTACTAAACACGTTAGTGTGTCTGAAAGTTCGCTGGGGCCCAACGTATTTGTCTTAAAAGCAAAGTCCAGTTTACTCGTGTTTTTACTCAAAGCAGTTGCACTACAATGCGACCACACGAGACAAAGACTGTTCCCAAGAGAAACGTTCAGGCCATACAATACAGTCGTCAAACACGGTGCTAATTGCAGTAATTTTAACACGTTTTGTCAAACAAGGTATTGAATGGTTCAAACTAGATCTTTCCATGTAAGGTTTTGGCGAAAGGTAGCGCGAAGGAAATTTCTGAACGAACGAACGAACGAACTGGGGTGGTTGTATAGAATACACGTTGAATCCAGTCTAAACCATGCACAAACATGGCCCAGTTGCGCTGGGAATCACATTTTGACATCTTACTCCGAATATGCACCTTGAACTGTTGAGACTTTCGTGTCCCCTCTGATATTGTACATAAAGCAAAATTCGACAACACTGTGTCACAACTGAATATCACAGCAACTCAGGCAGACGACAGCAAGCTTACAAACGCGGTCAGCATTTGCAGGGTTACTAGTAGTAATATGTACCAGCAGGTTGCCGTACGTATACCCTTCTTTCGACAACGCCGGTCAAAGTCTACTGTCACAGAATAAACAGACCAGACTACCTCAACTTAAATATGATACACGGCGTATTACTTACCTTATCATTCCCTTTTTGCTGTGTTATATACGACTAACAGGTACCGGTAGACAACTAGGAACTACTGCTCCGATCTTGCCCAAACCTGACGGCAGGACAGGTGTACCGAGGTCACAGGTCGCCGCGAGTGAAAAGGCTGTCGCTAGGCGCCACGGCTTGCTTAGCAACGGGACGCGTAACCCGACATGCGATATCCCGCCTTTTGTGTACAACCCTGCGTAGGCTTTATAACCTGGAAGCCAGACTGATACCGGGCTTACACAGGCTAGCTTTTCGATGCTTCAGTGCAGCTAAAGAAGCTTTAGCAACAACACATGTAAGAGATTAACCGTTGGTTAGCCTTATTTTGCAAAGATTGCAATGGGCCTACTAGTATAGTAACTCGGTGTTACGTGTCAATCACGTGGGGTTAGGTGGATTATAGCGTTAATAATAATAATAACCTTTATTGTACATTCATGCCCTATCGGGCTAAGTACAGGTCAACAGATGAAATTGGTAATATACATGTTTGTAGTACAAACAGATCTAAAATTACTAATCTATCTAATACAGGGGTTCGGCTTCTTCTCGTTTCTTTGAGATAATAATTAACAGATAGGAGCTTACCGCCTGTGGGATTATCGGTTGTGATTAATGGGGAACTACGGCAATAAAATAGACATAGATACTGATGGCTTCATGAGGAAGGAAAGGCGTGCGTTTTTACGTAGTTTTCCTGGCCACCGCAAAAACAATACACCTGTGTATCACGACATTAGGACAAAAACAACAACAAAGAAGGCAATAAAATCATTACATGCCGATATTGGTTGAAACTAAAAACGTATTTGAAGCATTAAGTTGAATATACTGCTCCTCTGAGTTTTCTTCGTAGCAACAAAAATGTTCTATATTGTTTGTGCTCTCTTGATAGAAGAAAACATATTTGGATGACTATCGATAACAAATTTTTGCCTGCCCATCGATAGAAAATTTTACACCAATCAAGACAGCCATTAATATTCTGTGTGCAAAAAGTTACAATTCTGTGTGCAAAAAGTTACAATTCGCCCCAAATGGTGCCTTTCAGATGCATAGCAACAAAGGCCTTTCCTACTCGGTCCAAAGACCACATGGCCGAAGGCTACCTCAAAACCAATTCCCTAGGGAACGCATTCGTGCAATTTTTAAAAAATTCTTTCCAAGCGATCGTAGTACTTATACAAATCCCCCGCCCTTGAGGCGTCGCCAAAAAAACGTGTTGACCTTGAGTCCCAGACCCTATATCTGCGACTATCTGGGTATCTCAGCGCGGTGTTGGCCGGCTGGTACTAGTTTGATAAAAGCGCTAAACGTCCGTGGAATCCTGACCTAAAGAGCCATGGGAATTTGTTATCTGTTCGTGGTAGATCGGGTTAATCCCCTCCTCTCTCCTGTAAAAGCTGCGCCATATAATGTATGTCAATAAAGACCATATTTGCATAATCATTGAGAAACTTTACAACATGTCAGTCATTTTTTTTACGAAGGTGTGAGGTCGTGGAACTGGCGGTCTTGGGGTATCCGGCAGAATTATATGGGTTGACGCTAACGGTGTCGAAACAAATACTATGAACCCTGTATACACAGAATTTTGGTTGTCAGCTGAATTATAATCAGTTCTAGCTCTGTTTTTGGCCCTTTTGATATATTCGGACTCTCCATGATGCATCATATATGCATGTGTAACACCATGATGCGATGTCAGCTAACGATGACATACGGCCGGAGAGACCCCCCGAGGCATCAGGGTTAGAGATACCGACGTCTCTGGAGGAGAATTCCTGGGCTAATAATACACGCCGCTTCACGTTAGCACGCTAGTTTGGGAAAATGTTTGCTCTACTTGGCTGTGTACCCTGGGAACAAGACTTTCCACTGTAGCTACTTCGAACACGCAGTAACGCCCGGGTGTGTTGGGGTATGGCTTCAGAAGACTGCGACTACGGGACCTTAAACCGCAGAAGTACTGATCCGGAGGAACCCAGAGTCTTCAGGATCGTCTTAGGGAAAAATAAGGAGGTGTATGGACCAGGGGAGTGTCTGGCGGGAGAGATCGCGGTGGAATTCTCCGAGGTCAAAAGGATACAAGGTGCGTTCCTCGTCCAATGTGTATCGTCTGGTGGGTGCGAAGCCGATACCTTGTTTCTTGTCTCTGGCAAAGAGAAAACACGTGTGTGCAAATGTCGATGTTTACTATAACTTGTGGTATAATTAGTGGGGTGTCCATAACCAAAGGAAACAGAAAATCATTGGTTTGTGATTTTACGAGAATGGCAACGCTTATTGCAATAATCTTTCATCAGATGTAATGACTTATGTTATATCTAGTTGTTACCTCTTACTGGTCGTCTTCTGACGTCGTTTTTTTAACACCACTGTGACAGTCCTATTTTATGCCCTATTCTTGGCTGCCATGATAAGATCACAGCGAAATAATAAATAATGTTTGAAGGGGTGTTTGATATTTCTGTTGGATACGCTGAATTTTTGTTTTGATGCCTGGGCCGCCAACCGCTCTGTCGGGTCAAGACCTAGGCGAGCCCCTCTGTGTGTTAATTCGCACAACTGTGTGTCCAAACATTGGCTGTGTGGACAACCGGAACTGTCGCGACCTGCTAGTGTCTGTTTGAAGCCAAACGAAGGACTTCGTACTCAAAAGACCCAATTAAGGAACGCAACGACAAAATACAGACGGGCCCTTGTATTATGCTGTATAATTTGGCACAACTGTGTTGTGTTACGGTATTTATAAAAGATACCCTATAGCATTCAATCTACTCCTAAGATTCTCCTAAGGCTTGGGACAGGGTATGAACTTCAAGGTCAACATTACGATATAAAGTATAAAGATGCTGCCCTCCGTTAGCATCGGAAATGCCAAAGCGAAGCGTCAGAGGGAAAGCAAAATAGTTGGATTTGAAAGAGCACCCTGGGTATGAGAAGAATTTAAGAAGCAAAGCACATCTGAAGACTCCACTCTCTTGTACAAACGATAGATGAGGTGATCTGTTTACTCCGATAATTTCATTGCATCTCAGTCTACAAGGCGAGACAGTAACTAGACAGCAGGGGAAATGTGGCTCAAACATTGCTTCCGCGTAGTCAGAATTTACAGTAATGTCTGCCACTGACCTGACCCTTAAGAAGGCCCCACTGAGAAGCCATGACCTAATTTCATATATCACGGCTAGATTCCTTCCTCCCTTTGCGGCAAAGTAACACAGCTTGGTCTTCTTTGTCCATGGAACCAACTTGAAATGTCAACACATCAGCGGAGGAAGAAAATTAATTTCGTCCGAAAGTTTCAGGGTATGCAGGTCTTATGAAAGATCATGAAACGCACACACAACTAGCCCCAAATGAATCTACATCTAGATATCTAAAAACTAGTCATTAAAAACTAGTGTTATTTTGTTGTCAGGTATCTGTCTCGAAGAAGAACTAACGTTACATAATCATTTTTTTCTTTCTTCAGATTTTGTCTTTGCGTTTGCATCTGTCACTTATCACTGGGACGGTGACTGATACCATTTCCCAGTCACTTTGCCAAGGTCTAAAGGTTAACGCACGGCACATGTATAGATACGGGGCATTGATAAAGCCTAACTAGTGGCTGGTCCAACGTTAGCCAGTCGCCACTTGACTAATGATGGAGTATCAACTATGAACAACTATGTGGGGATTTCACATTTTCTGTGTCTTAAAAGTACACATGCACCTAAAATTCACATGCAACCATATACGTAATACCTTATAATTGTGTCGTTTTATTTCTAAGCAATGTTGACTATGGTCTTGCATTCATGTGACATAAAAGGAACCCCGATGCACCTGGCAGCAAGTGATGTCTCCTGGGCCTTGTCTAATTGCTGAGTACATCTACTGTGTATATTCCTGCAGGTATAGTGGTGGAGTTCCACGGGCTGGGGTCCGTGCATTGGGAGGAGACTCGCGGGGGCAGCACACACTACAAACCCGTCACACACTTCGAGAACGAACAGGTGTATTTCAACGACAGGACGACCGTTTTCGGACAGGGTTGGTAGTACTATATGACATTTCACAAGCATAATGGCTCATTCAGAGAGGAATCAATGGTTCTATTGAGTTTTTATCATGTATACATTGTATCCTGATTGAATCGTTCAATTGATTCACCATCGGCGCCCATGCAATATTCTGGACACCTTAATACGAGATTATAGTCACACAAACTACGTCTAAGGCTGAAATTGAAGCTTTAATGTAATGGTAAACGTAACATTTTATTGGGTATTGGTTGTTTCAGAGTTTGCTGCGCTATAGAACTTCGTTTACTCAACGTAGTGATCTGAAAGCCTTGAGGATCATAAGACCTGGAGATGACAGAAAACGTTTGATTCACTGAGCTATGATTCACTAAAATGCAAATAATAACACCAACATCGTGGCGAACGCAGTGATGACATAATATGAAAACGCCTTAATAGCAAGTTAATGATCTTTCCTTCCAGAGTTATCAGACGTTGAAGAAGATTCAGTGGTTGTAGAGAAAGGCTTAAGAACGTTCTCGTTTGAGTACCAACTTCCCAGAAGACCGATCCCGCCGTCGTTTGAGGGCGACCACGGCTTCGTGCGGTACTGGTTGAAGGCGGCCATAATTCGAGCAGAGAGAAACAACCATGAGTGTAAAAGGGCGTTTACCATCCTCACACCGTATGACTTGAATGACGAGCCAGAAGCCTTGGTGAGTGGTTATTGAAAACCTTCGTCTGGATTTTTTTACAAGGATAGAAGGTGTAGAGAGTGAAGAGGCCACATTTTCAGAAGTATCAGTGATTAGGCGAGCGGTGGATCGAAAGTTACAAAAGTTTATGTATGGTGCCCCCTGTCTCAGGTTTTCTACACAACAGCATTCATAAAAACTGCAAATACTCGCTGATATCATTATCAAAACTTTCTCTCTATTTCTATGCATGCATCTTTCCCAGCTCCCTGCAGAAGAGTCGTACACCTTCACGATATTTCCCAGCTGGTTCTCCTGTTTCCGGCCGCAGCCTATCGACATCCGCGCCCGGACGGACCGACGTGGGTACGTCCCCGGCGAGACCATCGTGCTCTCTGCCTCTGTCAAAAACCACACCAACAAGCGGGTACAGGAAACGTACGCCAAGCTGGTACAGGTAGGACTCACTGAGGCTTCGATATTTGAGTGGCAGATATAAATAGTTACATTTCGAGCTGGGGAATGGTATAGGTTTAGGCCCTCTAGCAACTTTCCTTGGAACCGCATGCTTGGTTTGTCTTCCACTTTGGAAGATAACTGAAGAAAGGGTGAATAAATGTACATGTATTCTCATGATTTTGAATTGTGGGTAACTTAGATGGAAACAAACATATTTTCTTATTTCTTAGATTGTCCGCTACTTCGACAACTCGGGATTTTCGATCACGACTGTGAAAGAGCTCCAGTCTGTGAAGCAGCACGGCGTGGAGTCCGCCACCATGGCGCGCTTCCCTTCCATCAACATGCTGGTGCCCTGTGTCCCGCCCTCGGGGCTCAAGAACTGCCGCTTCATCGAGATACGATATGAAGCACAGGTGGGTGGTGTTAGGTACTTCTTTTTCCGACAAAATACATGTATGTAATGGGCAAAAGCATTGTTCGAATACAACAAGACACCCAAACATATACATGGACATAAACATAGGTACAGAAATCATATAAACATAAATCCAAGTCCGAGTATCTTATTCCATACCTCTCTATGAACGTGGTTTTTCCCCGTAGACCCTACCTATTTGCTATCATAAGCAATTAGGGAGATTATAATTGTTTCATTGATTGGTACATTTTTCAGTGCCTATTTATACTCAGTGTGCCTATTTATACTCAGTGTGCCAATTTTACCAAATACATCTCAATTCTACTCGTGTACAAACTTAACAATGTTGTTAAACATATCACTAAATATATCGGTAATATATATATTATACTCGAAAAATTGCTGAGCATACAAATATTATTACACTGCATTTGGTAGAAACTATACTTATGCACCCCTGCTTGTGCGGTCTCTTCCCTAGTTTCTGGCGTCAGTGACGGGTAAGAACTCCGCTATCAGCGTGTCTCTGCCCGTCCGCATCGGTACCAGGCCGCTCAAACTCAGACACGGGGTCAAAACTCTCACGGACATACCGGAGGAAGAAGAGGAGCCTAATAAGGACGAGGCAGAGGTGAAGAACAATGGAGGTAAAACAACCCTGTGTATACACCACACTGCATCTGTATCTCTTCTTTTTGTTTCATGTACGGTAAAATGGTAAAAATGCCTCCGCTCCTGAGGCATCGGCAAAAACTTCACCTGTTACAGGCAGTCCTCAGACCTGTCCTTGGTACTGAAGGAGGAATCCCGAGTTTCTTCAAATGACATGTTTCCCAACACCGTACATAAAGGTTCGCAAGGAGAAACACAATGGCAGGCATACAGTTTTGTATCGTTTTTACATAACAGCACCATTAGCGCACATGCCTTTCCCCCTTTAACTGAGTTTAATAGCAATTTTCATGTCTCCACAAACTCTCCCATAATGGAAATTTCCAGGCCTTGCTGTAAGACGTATACGACGGAAATCTTTTTGAGTGGTTTTGTTGTGTGCTGAGATTCTTTTGAAATTCAGAGAACTCCACGTTTGTCACTTCAATTGTTTTTTCTCTATTATAGCCATTGCCGTGACGTCGGTTACAGGAGGCTACAACATCCGGGACAATCGGGACAGTCCATTCATCCACGGGGACCTCATCTTTACACCGATGTACAATTACTACTGTAATTCTGGTTTTTGACCGGCAGTTTATGAAATTTACTTGTAACATGTATTAATGATTTTTATTTATGTCATGATGAACTATAGTCAACGTTTTGTTTTACAAATGTGTACATACACATGTAACATTAGCTGTTCACTTCATCTGCGAGTTGTGTGCACTTTAGATATCCAGGTGTTCATAACATTCTCAAGAAGGGCGAGCCATTTCTTTATTGAGGGACATGGTAATCAGCATTAATTTCTATGCAGTACAACGTTTTTTCAACCTTTATTTTACCATAATCTATGTAAAGCAAAATCAATTCGGTGATTGATTTAACACTTAAGGCATTATGGATGTTTCAGAATTATTCAGTGTCATGAATTCTGCGCTCACAAGTGTACACACAGAAGACACTCATATGGTGCCTTCTGTTTTGCTATACACAAAAGTCAATATTATTGGAGAAGAGACAACATGACAAATTGACAATAGAATGACTTGAGAAGCAATAATTTATTACCATACAGCATCTAGCTACCATACGTGCCATGCTGCTATATTCCAGCACATCAAGCAAAGTAATTTCCGCCCTCACAGAGGCAATGGTATAGGAAAACATTTTTTTCAATACCTTTTGACCAAACACAGTGGAGAATTTATACATTTATTGAGTCATTCTCTATCCTACTTAGCTTACACTATTATCAGCAACAAGTGTAAGGCAGCCTGAAATCAATCTCTTGAAGCCACACAAAGTGAATCATAAAGTATTTTACAAATCAACTACAATATAGTAGATCCCCAAGGTCACATATTAGAATCTTATGTTTGTTGTTTATCTTTAAAATATTGTATGATTACACAACAGCTCACATTTACATACAGTGTAAGAATAATTGCAGTCTAGTGTTGTCTATGTTATGATCTGTAGTACATGTATTAGGTCCAACACTACCGTAATATCAGGTCACTTATAAGTACACCATCAATGCTATTTAGTTACTAATAGTAGCGATTTAGATTACATAGCACAAGTACCAGTCCTATCTTTCACATTTTGCAGTTTCCATTTTTGTGCTCATTTAGTCAACTCATAGAGAGAAAATAATTTAGAGCATTAATCTCAAGCTGCCTGTACCCTTGTCAATGGCACTGGGAATGCAAAAATGGTACTCCAGACAAGAAGTCTACTTAAACACTTCAAGATACAAACACTGTCTTCAATACATGAAAAGACTGGTCTAGCAGGCTAGAGCACACTCCTGGACCGAAGCTACCAGGGTATATTCTGGCCTCCTACACCTGATGAATGCAGTGAGCTAGAAATTCATAAGCCAAGCCAAGAATCAGAATCTTCCCAAATCATTGACATTGAGCTGAAATAGTGCAGAATTAGTGAAAAGCAGTGAAGAAATATGTATTGACTGACCACTATATTTACTTGTTTCTTTAAGATTCTACATTCATTTCCTCAGTTGAATGTGGACTTCTTGCCTGGGGCACCTCAAGTACATTTAGGTAACTTCCCTGACAACTCCTTGCAAAAATACCCCCTCTCTATCTGCCGGCACTGCCATTTTACTTTAAAAACTAGAGCTCTGTTTGGGCTTTAATTGTCTTACGGATTCACTGTGCCACCACCGCACATCATATAACCAGCTGAAGGGGTCCTGAGTAGTAATTAATCAAACATACTTGTCTCTAATTAACGAGTATCATAATCACTTCCTCAATATTCCTCAGTCCCAAAGGCTTGGTAATAGTGGTCTCTGAAATGCACTTTCTTGTAATATTGTGCCAAGGTACATGTATGTGCAAAAACATCTCTCCTAAACTGTGAAACAAAGTGGATTAGATTAATAATAGCACTGGAATAAAAGTCACCATAATTGCATTTAGTGTTAGAGTAGGAATGTTCGTTTAGGCCTACATGTATCTGATAGAGAATTCTGTAACTTGTATTTTAAAAGTTCCAATTAGGCTATTCCAGTCAAAATGGTGGGGATAAACAGTTGGAAAGTTTCATTTTACTGAATGAAAGAGATTTTATTACATTGGAAACAGATTGAATGTGGAAACCTGAAAAAGCTCTTAAATTGTTCAGAATATGCTGGGAGGCAGGAAGAATTATGAGTAATGCTGGGGGTAAACACCACATTGCCATGACAAAATGTAAGCAGTATACATGTGTACTGTGTCCAATCTGGACTATATTGTCATGTTAATGCTATTGCTTACCTTCTGTGCTACCCATAGTGTCCTTATCTCCCAGCATGCAATAGGGTCTGCCAAATGGTCTATGAAATAAGAAATATGTAAGCTCCCACCTGATATGTAGGGTTATGATATGCCACTTGTCTTCCTTTTCCCTTCCCAAACTTCATTTTTGTCTATAACTTGTACAGTATAGTCAGGCAATGATGCAAATCAAGAGTGAACATGATAAAACAACAATTTCTCAGCAAAATTGACATTAACTATTCTACCCAGTTGCAAAGATTTAATCACTTTTATTGGATATTTGTTATTTTCTATCTTTGATTGCAGATTGGTTCCCCTACTGTTTGTTTCTTTGTTAGTTGTTGTTTCCTATTGGTTCCTATACACCAACTTGATGAGATTTTTATTATCTAACGCACATGAAATCAAAACTGTTGCTACTACTGATCTTTTTTCCAATGATGGTGTCTGTCCTTTTTCTATTAGATGGGTTGGGTTATGGTGTTCTGAAGAAGACTGCGTTTTGCCTTGTGTTGTGGCAAGCTGGCAATGTAGTAGGATCATGGTAATGAGAGATGTCATGAAAAATAAATCAGAACTTACCGTCATTAATGAGACATCATAGAGAACAATAAAGATCAATCATACTCTTTCATAATTTCCAATATTGACATGGTCAAAGGAAATTATATAATACAAATGTTGGTCAATGAAGATCACCATGTAGAGCAAATTCAGACTAAAACAAGCCTCCACGCTTGAGGGGCTGGCAAAAATTCAATGGCTGAGAAGAGGACGAAATCATTTTTTTTTTTTGATTGGTTTCCGTCATAACAAGGAAGAGATGAGGCATGACAGGTCCAGAAGGAAAGCACTGGTTAGGGAGTGAGATGAAGTCCCAGGGGTACAGTGGTCTTTAAGTGCTGGTGCGCCGATACAAGGAAGGCGAACCTGCAGGAGCTGTTTGAGCGTAGGGGGCTGCAGGCCTCGGCGAGCGAGCAACGGTGGAGGAAGGTCTGGACAGCCCTAATGAGAGTGAAGATGAAGGTGACAGCAGGTAAGTGAACAGGTAAAGCTGGGAAAATGTCAGTGAGTTGATTGATTGACATATCAGATAAACATATAAATAAGCTGGTTGATTGTTCAACTGATCAAATGTAGGTAAAATGGAAAATGTTGATGAACTGGTTATTGAGTTAATTAGAAAACAAGATTAGTTATCATTATGTCTACTCATGGTGGAAACGGTTGATAGAAATTGTTGGTCAGTCGGTCAGTTAGTGATTAGGAGGTGAGAAGTTCAGATGATGGCGTTTTAATGACTGTGTTGGTTTTATCAATCATCATGATCCCTGATATGTAAGGAAAAGTGTGTAAGGGAATTGGGAATGTTAGAAATTTGAATGATTGGTTATCCTAATATACCACAAGCAGGTTAACAAGTAAAGTTCTGAAGTTTTAGGGAGATTTATCAAGAACTCTTACAACAATGCTACTGCTAAAGAAAGAAGAAAGTTTTTGAAAAAGAATTGTAAAATTAGTGATCATCAGATGAACTGTAGTACAGGGCAAGACTGACACTGAGCCGAAGCACCATAGATAGACCCTACTGCATGCTGGGATGGGAGCTGTGGGGGACTATGGGTAATGCAAGGGGAAAATAACAGAATTACTGTACTAACAATGCATATGTGGAACATGCATCCTGTGACCAGTCTAGTGGTAATGGTAATGATCTTGTTCACCCCCTGCATTACCCATGGTGCCCCACATCACCAAGCAGGCAAAGGAATCCAGGAAATGGCCCAATGGCATGTAAGGTTAGTGCAATGATTTGCAATTTTAACAGGAAACAAAGCTTCCTATACCTTACCATCAACACTGATTACAAACATTGTTTTTATCCATCGTAGGAAAGGAAAGGAATCCAAACATAGGAAAGGAAGTCTGTTTGACCAAACATACCAGAATGGAGCTGACGTTCAGGGTACGTGTGTCTGACATGAATTTTTCTTGATGAAAATACACAAATACAAAGTCACAAACACAAGGTAAAGCTTTGGTACATATTAAAAAAAAACAAATATTTTACTAAAATTTGAACCAACACTTCACAATGTGCCTTATTAAAAACTGAACATATATTAAACCAAACTATCAAAATAAAAGCTATTTTTTGTAAAGAAGGTATTTCCTTCAAAACAAAGGTCATCATCACTGTACAATTTATTTCTCAGTTTCACAGTCTAATAGTGATGTAGTTATTTGGGACATATCTGGCTTGCGGTGTTCTGAAAAATTGAATATAGCTGATATTTTGACTATTTTCCATATGTTGTATTCTTAGATATCTTTCTTAAGTACAGCATGATTAAATATGCCCTATCAATTTGGATATATTCTATGTACATTTATTATTAGGTTGCAGGGTATACATAAAATGTAAATGTTTATATACAAATTTATCATGCCATTTTAGGTTATCCTAACATAATATAGTCTTACCTTGTGATGCTATACTTTATTGCTCTATAGCAAAGATATTTGAATTGTAGATTTTAATAGCAGCTGTGTCTTAATACTGATATAGGAATGACAGTGTTTACTTGCATACCAGTATATTGCTTTGTATAGATTCTTAAGTAGCAGAATGTCTCTGTGTCAAAGGCATTGCCTAAAAAGACCTATTTGTCATTCAATTATACATTTTTACTTAAATCTTACATATTCTGGAGGTATATCTGTTACATGATTGTAAATATATTTTTGTATTAGTCATACTCTAATGGGATCCCAATTTCCACATTTTTGTAATTTGTCTACCTTTACACTGTCTTATCTGTTTCTTTGTTATCACATTCTAATTCTGAAAACCATATTTTGTTCATTTTCATTAGTTTTAATACCCCTACTGTTACCACTAGTGTGTCAATTCTTTAAGTTACTTGTAGTATGTAGATGATGCACTTGACTAATTATTGCAACATTACTGTAACATTAACGGTACATCATGATGATATTTTCTTTCATTCCCCGATTTCAGCTCCAGTAAACTATGTGCTACCACTAATTATTGTTGCCTGGTGTTTATATCTCTTCCTAATTATTCTTGACCACTAGGTATCTATTATTTGCCTTAACTTTTGACACTGTTTCAAATAACTTGTCCTATATAAGATCTACATGTACATGTATGTTGCATCTTTTCCTACATACAACAACATTTTAAATAATTTTTAAACAATTCACATTTATTTATACATTTAAACATTAATTTGGGATTCATACAACAATGCATTGTTATGACATTGATACATTCTAAATATAATTGTTTCTAAGTATATCCTGGACAAGCTGGCGGAAGTGCACAGGACAATGATAAGTAGTTAGTTAGGGCCCTCTGGCCACAGCACCTGGGTTCTGCTGTAGTAAGTCTATCTGTGCCCGCCGCTGTCCCATCCACATCGCGATCACTTCCATGTCGCTGCCGTCACCGCTGGCTTGGATGAAAGGATGTTGCTATGGGAACCAAAGACCATGTGGTTATGTTACAACTTTCATGAATTTGTCAAATTTGAAGCAGGAATAGTTTAGTCTTGCTTCAGAATGAATTCTATCAACAACACACTGAACATTCAGGCTAAGATTAGAAACACTGATCTATAAGATTTTTAGGGTTTTTTGAAAGTCCAAGTTTATTAATAAAAGATACACACCATACTTTTAAATGGAATGACAAGGTACATACGCTCTGAGGTACATCTTTGTAGCAATTACAAGTTTGAAAATCAAAATACATGGCATTGCATAACTCATATATTAATCTTTTATAGATAGATTTTGAATTATTGTTGACTCACCAACAGCTGCATGGGGGAGGGTCTCTCTTTTGGGGACTTTTGCATACTGAAAAAAATAATGAGAAACGTTGAGAAAATAACTGTGCTATGACTGCCCACCCAAAATTTTTTATTCTGTTTAATGTTGTTTAAATCTATTTCTTGAGGACGCCCCTATTGTACTTGGTGACAATGAGTTCCAATCTATAATTAGGTCTGGAGGGCAATCCTGAGCTGATAACTTTGATACAGGAATAAAGTGGCAAGAAATAAACAAAAAAACATAACAGATTAATAGTGCAAAAGCATTGACTGAATGTATGCTGTGATGATAATAGTCTTGGGAACTCACCATCTTCCAACAAAGTCAACAAATGGAGGGGAGAAGTTTTCAGCAGACAAAGCTAGAGGATTCTGGAATAAACAATGAACATTAGCTGACATTATGATGCTGACTTACAATGAATTGATTTTACACTGATGCACTCTGTGAAACAGCATGTTCTTTACAATGCTACCTTCTATTCCTTACATAAATCATTCACTTCATCATTTGTGTTGAAACATGACAATTTCTTGCTTTTTAAGGACATACTGTATAAAACTTCACTTCACGTCTTATAAAGATGCCCTGAACTGATACATCTGTTTGGCAATTCACTGGGTATGCAGTCATGTTTCGGACTGCACCTTCCCACTGCAGTGCCACCTATCTGTACCAGTCAGTATTGCACTAAGGAACTTAAAGGAAGGTAGCTGATGGACTTCCAAGAGGTAACTGGTATCGGTTATATCAAGGAGTTAAAACTCCATGGTTATATACGAGGAAGTTGATACCCAGTTATACTTTTGTGTTAGGGTATTCTGATTTCTTAGCTTGGACAGTTTGAACACAAAATGGCATTGAACATAGAGATAAATGAATGGAGGAAATGTTACTATCAAAGGAAAGCAAAGTAGTCAGGCTCAAGTAGTTGAAGTTATGGAATACTAAGCTGTTGTAGTGATACACTTGACTTACAAGTTGGTAATACATTTGGATACATTTTCCTGGGACATCCTGTATGTCATCCTGTATAACCTCAACTCTCACAATGCTGCCAGATACACCTTTAAACTGCCACATCAAGAATGTGTTGAACACCTGGATATCTGAAGTGTCCATACCTCAGGGGTTACTGATGCCTCATTTGTAATTTTTGTTGAAATTTAAGTTAGGGTACTGGGCAGAATTATGGAAGTTGGTGTAATATTAACTTGATCTTACCTCTGTGAGTATACACTGGAACACTTCCATTGGCTGGCAGAGGAGAAACACACAATCTCATTAACAATCTTTCTACTTTGCTGCACTAATTACATTATACAACTGTACTTCCAGATCATAGGAACTATTTATGCATGTAATTACTAAGCTCCATAAGGCCTGCCAACTGTATCTATAATGTATATGCTTTGATAAACATGTTGATCTCTTTGATGTATTTTGCATTGTGAATTCATTCATTTATGAAGGAGGCTACATTAAGGTAAAGAAATTATTCGAACAAAAAAGCTGGATGAAATCTCAAGTGCAAACTAGAAATCTGGCACAAACATATTTTCAAACTCCTTAAATTACAATCCATTCTGTTCTGCTTACATGATAATAATAATATTGAAAGCAGAATTATAATTATTTTTATTAATATAGTACTCACCACTACATCACCGTAGTATTTATTCTTCTGAATCTGAGAAAGGGGACACAAATGTTCATAATGAACGGCTGTATCCGATGAGAGGCGGTTGAAGAGATTGATCAATCAATTGTATGCAACTTAATGGTTTTAATTATGATGATAGTTGTTATATTGAATTTTTTAGTAATGGTAATATTAGTTTTATACTTAGCCGATAATATGCTCGTTTAATGATTTTAGCTATAATTAGTACCTTGTCTGACCTGTGACCTCATGTATGTAAATTTGTAGTCATATGTGTATATTTGTACTGTGTGTGTAATGTGTAATAATGTGTATTGAGCCCTGGAAGATTAGGTATAAAAAGGGTAAAAGGCTAAAGGGTATCGCAATAAACTAATAAACTAAACTAATACATACATTTATGTCCTACCTGGGCCGCGATTACGTTCGATACGGGTGTTCCGGCCCGTGTGATAACTAGCGGTACGGCCCGGAAGTTCTTAACGCGTACGGCCCGGGGCTTCCAAATGTTCCATAGAACAATTCGAACGCGTTTCGCCCTAACCGCATGCAACGCTTTCGAAAATTCGAATGCAGAATCCGGACGTTGGAATTGATGTTGTTGCATTTTAGGGTTTAGTGGCACCAACTTTTGGCTCATCTTGCATTGAAATGCGTGTTTTCTTGGGTGGGTATGACATAAATAAAATACAACACGGTGTATTCCGCATCGCCCTCGGTCCCGGCCCTCCCGCGGGTCGGATCGCCCGACGGCCACGACGCGCGGTTGGGCCGATACCTCTGGCGATACGGAATACACCGTGTTGTATTCTATATGTACATGTACCCACGCTGTCACACCTGCCAGTGTGTGGTGTAATGGTTCAAGTTTTTGGTGCAGATTCCAGAGATTCTTTATCTCTGTAAATCCACACGTTCAGCATGTTAAAGAACCCACCACACTTACAGAGAAGAGTAGGGACCATTTTTGGTGTGTGGTTCATAAACACCTGGAGCAGTTACTGTTGCTGAAAGGCTGCCATTACAGACATATGCAATTTAGCTTTGCTGATTGTAATTTATATACAGTCATGTATTTGTAAAATAATCCTAAATGTTCATTTAATTTACTGTGTTTGGATAATCATCTTACCTTTGGGTATGGAAATCTTCCTAATGCCATCTGAAACATATGCATATGACAAAGTCATCCTTTTGAAAGCTGAAATGCATTTTTTATTGGTATATATGGTGACTATTGTAAGTTCATTTAAGTTCTCAGTACTTGACTTTTGTGGCAACGCGAAATCAAGTGAGGATCTGTGGAGTTTGAAAGTTGAACATTGTCCTTCTCACCTCTAACAGAGAGAGTCCTAGACTCCAGACATCTGAGTGGATGCCATACTCATCTCCTAGAATTCTTTCAGGCTGAAAGGAAACAGCTGTCATTCAGTGTGTGCAGTGATACTGCAAGTGGCTATAGGACTTAGAGGGGCTTGAAAATAATGTCAAAAATGGAACAATATCAGGTATCTGGATTTTGAGCTAAATCATTGACAATTATATTGTGCATATATCATGGCAGTGAAATAGTCATATATATAGCTCCTATACAACCTACAGGATTCACTTTTACAGCAGTAACACCTTCATACATGTACATTGATCGATGAAGCATTTGGCTACAACAAACACTTTGAAAAATGTTTTTGTCACAATATAGTTGAGTACAAACTACTGAATTCAACAGCTTCACTTACCGCCATGTAGGCACTGGTTCCGACATACGTCTTGGCTATGGAGTCCACTAACTACAAAAATGGACAGAAAAACAATCAACAGTGATCATTATCTTACATTTTGTTAATAATTTGGCACTGAAATCAACAGTTTAAGTATATGGCACCAACCCAAAAATGTCAGTGAAGTCAAGCCAAATACACGTATGACACCAAATGGCATCAGGCAGTACTACAGGTACTCTGTGTAATATAATAATGGCACAAACACAGTTGTCAGGGGCTGTGACTCACCCCTCCCCACAGACACTCCTTGGGGATCAGTTGAATGTTGCGGCAGCCATTATAAGCATGACTTAATCAAGCTAGAGACCCAAAATTTCCTCATAGACTGAGTTACATGATACACTTAAGGCTGCTAGAAGAGGAAATCGTGTTGCTTCACTGATTGCTGGTCAGCTCCCCAAGCAATTTTGATGTCATACCGTATCAATATACATGTACATGAATTTGTACATATGTACATGACAGCCTGTGCAAGACTATACTATACATGTACATGCAGTCTTACCTGTACACTGACACCAAAGTCACAAAGCTTCACTTGACCCTTTGTGTTTACCAGGATATTTGAAGGCTTCACATCTGCAAAACAATATTATAACAATGATGCTACTAAAAGCTTTTTAATGATAATCACTGTTCAAATGATGATAGCAGTGACATATTATCTTTCTACATTGTAAGTTAGTTTTAAACCAAGTTTATAGGACATCAGAGATAGAGCCGTGTACTCACCTCTGTGCATTATCTTTAGTCCCCACAAATAATTTAATCCCGTGACAACCTGAAAATCAAGATAACTCATTCAGAAGCACATTCTTTTTTGTCTCTTTAAATGCAAACGACCTTGATATGAATGACCTTGACATGAAAAAAAAAGAATTAGACATATCTTAATAATTTACCAAATGCATGCGGAATGCAAAAAGTAAGAATGTGCATTACTGACAAAATATATTCTATGCTTCTTCTAAGGTGGGGAGGGGGTATCGTATGGGAGGGGGCAGAAACAAGAAAACAAATAAGAGTTTGAAGACATGCCCTATGGAAGATTTATGGGGTCTGTCTTGTGATGACTCCTTCATCTTCTGAGAACAACTGAAGCATAAATGATTCATAACGCAGTAACAAAGAGACTGTAGCAGGTATGGGCTGGGACGGAGCCATTATGTTAAAATCAATTCACGAAAGGTCACTCTGAAGGGTGCTTGATCCTTTCCGAATCTTCTATGCTGCAGATCCACTTTTTGTGATGACCATTGCAGTGTAGATGTCTTAAACCCTCATAAATTTTGAGAAGCAATAATTATGATACGCACATATTTCCCTTTTTTAGACAGGCTACATTTTGCATTTCTCTTATCTGCATGTACCAATGTTCTGAAAAAACACCACTAATCACAAGGACCATTGCAAAAGTTTTCATAGTATACAATGTATTAAATGTGGAAAGTAACAAATCTTTGCACTCACAGAAAAAGCTATTCTCCCTAAAACAGGTTCAGGTATAGCACCATACAACTCTAAAGAACCACCTAGCAAAAGTACAAAGCATGTTATTTCCAAAATGTACCACTTATTTTTTACCAGTACTACATGTATGTACATAATGAATGAATACACATACCAACATCCGTACATTTCATCAGAATTACTTCATTTTGATTTATAATTTATGAGAGTGTGAAAATATAATGTGTAAGCGTCGCAAATACATAGGACACAACAGAAAATGCCATATTATCAGGTACTTGGATACCTTAATGTTAGTAATATGAGTAACATGCAAGATGTTGTACTGATCAGAAAGAAGCAAACTCACCATCCATAAACTCTGTACATATGGAAATTCTGTTCTCTGTGAAGAAGGCTCCATAAAATCCTATAATGTGCGGAGAGTCGCACTGAAGGTAGGAAACATTGTGTTAAATATTTTGCCACAGACTTTCAAACATATATAAGTTACTGTACATCTCCCAAAATACATGTAATTGCTTGAACTCAAATGTCTATTATTTTTTTAACTAAAGGTACATGTATGCTATGTCAGCAATGACAAGAGCTACGGATGGAAAGGTCTTTAAGTTAGTATTTTTACTTACCCTGTACAAAATTTCCAGCTCCGACATGATTTGCTTCTGTACTTCTGGAGTGACATCTAAAGGAATCACCTATGAAATACAGTACACATAAACTGTTAAACAATACATGTCTGGAAAAAAGATGTTACTATCATTTAACAAACAAAGGAATCCATAGGTTGCTTGAGCTTAAACTTAAATCACCAATAGACCACAGCAAAGAGGTTGAAGAGTCTCTCTTCAACCTCATTGATAACAGAAATCAAACTCATGTCAAAGCATTAAAGGTAGCAGCATCAAAATCTGAGTAATGCACACTCAGAGAAAAATTATTAATTAATATAATATATCTACATCCAAAAATCTATACATGTCTACCTGTTTATGCATGTAACGTTATATTAGATTTATTGATAAACAAGGTGACAGTTCAAAGTCAATACTTGAAAATGATGCTGACCTTCACTGCCATCAGTTTGCTACTGGACTTGTGATTTGCCCTGCAAGGAGTGAATTAGTCACAACATAAGTATACACTTATACACATGTAAATATAGTGCTGGTACATTGACATTCAATATCTTGGACCTGCTTGACCAAAAAGACAAAAGCCCTACCAGACAAAAGTGATATCAAACTTGAACTACAAGTTTAGCTTTATAATATCTTCTACACATCAAATACTCACTTGTAGACTGTTCCCCCATTCCCATGTCCCAGAATGGCCAGGTACTGTATATCATCTTCATTTATCTACAGGATAAAGACATAAAATAATACAAATGACCTGCTGATTATAACCATTTACCTAAAGACTCTATGATACATGTACCAGTAACACTGAAATTCAACAATCCCTGAAAATTGTCAAAGGTGATAGGTATTACTCAATAAAGACAGATGATTGGAAAAAATTCTGATGTTATACTTAAGGGAACGTTGAATCTTGTAAATCACCCTTCCAGTTCTTGATTTCGGATGATTTGCAAGATTCACTGATAAGATTCTCTACCATCAGAAGAGTGTACTTTTTGTCCATACATCTTTGCTCATTCAATCATACCTATCACGTCTGGCTATTTTCAGGAACTGTAGTTGTATTTCAGTGTCATGATCATGAGTTCAAACCTAACACAAAAAGTCTGGAAACTTGATTTCAGGGTGACTAAATCCCCGTTATCATTTCATCAATTATACATCATAATTGGAAAATATATTAATTACCCTTTACAAAGATGTCCAATTTGCTATGGTCATAATTATGTATATACATACATAAACATTAATATGTTAAATATGATTTCCAGTGATATACAATACAACTGATAAAGTATCAACAGAAATATAATTGACTAAAATCAAGCTTCCAAACTTTTTGTTTTGCATTTACATTATACCAACACCTATACTTGTTCCTTGATTGATTAATTATGATTGAGTTAGAAGTATTGAGGGCTTGTGAACTAATATGTACATATACAGGTAAGATCCATGTCCACCAATGGAATATCACCAGGAAACTCCACATTACCATATGCCCAAAAACACAATGTGGATTACCAGCACACTCGACTGTGAGTTTGTCTGAAAGTACATGAAATGAAAGAAAATGATGCACATACAGATGTTTATGATACTAGGCACTATGACTTCTTTGGTTAGTCTGGTATCCATCATATACTACCTCCTGTCTGCTCCTCTGATTGCTCCTTTGCCAAAAAGTCTGGTACTGGTTAATAAACAATTTGCATTTAAATATTCATACATGACCTGGCACCAAGTTGCATTTATTTTGGGTTTTAATATTTTAGAATCAGTGTAACTAGAATCAAACTTCCGAATGTCTGTACAAACCTTGTTGCCATGCTGTTACAGAGGACTGACTGTGTGACCAAAGGAAAACCTGGCAAGCACCATGATGGACAAAGTGGACTGGAGGGAGAGGTTTCTGGACTGGATATGATGATGAGGATGATGATTATGTGTGACTTGGAGCCAATTAGAACTCTTGTATATTTTATGCAACTATTTCAATACTAATTGCTTCTTGATATAACCAGTGCACTACTCATTTGTCAGGAAAGGGATCAGAGGAGCAGAACTGGAACTTGACAAGGCTTTTGCCATTCTAATGCATATGTCAAAAGACCTATCAAGCAAAAATGTTTACAGAAAACACATAAAAACATGAGAGGATAACGTATAAAAATGAACTAAAAAATCATAGTTACCTCTCCACTGGCAAGAATTTGTCTAAGATCCCCAGACTGCTTCCTCCTGAAATGATAATATAACATACTAAATCAAATACATGTATAATCTAATGCAGCACACCAATTGGTGATCCCCTAATTGTATTGAAGATCCATCTTTAAGTTTTATGAGGTGGTTTTGGAATGAATCAGTTGGGGATGAAACCTAACATCTACTGCATGCAAGGCAAGCACTCTCCCCTTTAGACCATTGTGGCGGTGAATCTCTTGTAAAAAAACAACTAGCACCAAAGAACTCACCCTGTCCCAGACATGCTTCTCTTTCCACCTGAGTCACCAGCAGCAAATGCCTTAGTCTTCACCTGTCATGGGAACACAACGTCTTCTTGGTATTCTTCAAATGTTGCATTTTTTATCCAACACAAGGATAATAAACTTATTATTGTGATTTTCTCCATATTGACATTTGGAATTTTGAACATGTGCCTAATCCATAAAACATATTTGGCCTAATGGTACAAATCAAGGACATTATACAAATGCATACCAGTGCCCCATATACCAGTGCATGGGTATATTTGATGACCATGTCATGGTACTATCAACTGGGGTGATGATAAAAACACAACACTTACAGTTAATCCATGGATATTTCTTTTCCCAGCCGGCTTGCAAGCTGTAAATATACAACCAACATCAATAAGACTATTGTACGTATTTTACTCAGTTACCTCTTAGCAAGAAGGTTTAACATAGATCAGTTCTCACACTTGGAGATGTATGTAATACATGTACATGTACAACTGTTACCTACCTCTGGGATAGATGACAAGTGGCATCACCTCACCTCCAATGGCCTGCATTTCACTGATTTGATTGACATACTGAAATGGAAATACACAGAGATACATTTGACCATAGCTGTACTACCATTTGTCGAAGATTCATTTTCACATAATTGGACTGTAAACTCTAAATCAATTTCAACAAAAACTACTAAATTGATTTTATACAGATGTTCCTAAGGTTTCTTGAATGATCATTATGAGATCCTGCAAGTCATCAATTATGCAGACCATAAAATGATGCACGGAATATGGCAGAAAAATAGCAAGAGAAAAATGCCTTTGCCCCTGATGCATCGCCAAAAAACTGTGTTACCCACCCTGACCTGAGTATCAAATAAAGCCAGTGAAAACCTGTCTGTATTTTCCTTATTTTGATACTCACATATGACATCATTGCCTGCATCTCTTCATCACTCCGCACTGTGATTCTGTCCCCATCCTCATCCTCATCTAAAACAAATTTATGCAAGGCAATCAGAGATGGCAGACTTCACTCCATGATACCCATACTACTTTGTATCTGTATCTGTATAGCTTTTGGCGTAACACACCAGCCTCGCAGGCACGCGGCAGCTGGCTACATTACACCGATATTAGGTACTTATTAATTTGGACGTCCACCAGTTTATTAGTCATTTTGTACTTTACAACCCTTCAAGTTCAAGTCTCACTGATAAAAATAGCTATATATAGTCAATTGCGATTAGCAGAACAAACACAGAAACATACACACACTAACACATTATACATACAAACACACACATACTCTGAGACAGACACACACAGACAAGCAAAACACATTGTACAATACTACACTCCAAGTTCAACTTGTAGCCACATCCTAGCACATTTGATTACTAAGTCCTCATTACTTCCTTGGTTCTGATCTTGAAGTAAAACAGAACAAAAGAATAGGATGGAAAAGAGAGGTCTGAGACTTTGAGTCTGACTAGACTAAGTTCCCTCCTTGCTACTGTGAGTACCAAATCAAAAGTACAGACCTTAGAAGTTCCCTCAGAGTCAGGCACTCCCTATTCATGTTGACATTTCCAAGTTTAACATTCTTTAACAAATCAACATATCTATAGTTATCAATGACTTAGATATTTAATAGTGAAATGTGAAGATTTGTTGTACCTCAAATTCAAATATGACCAGAATCGAAGACATCTTGCTCCATAAATAAATACATGTAATACTTATAGAATTGTTCATGTTTTATTCAGCATTCTGCAGCTACCAGACAGTTGTTGATGACAAATTTTCTGGAGAAATTAGTCTGTTGCAGTTACAAGTAGGGCTGTCAACTTTTCAGGTACAGGCTCTATCATTATGCATATGCATTTAGATACAGGTCTGATCTGGACCTGAATGTACATGTAAACTGATATCAGCAATCATTTATAAGTAGTAGACTGTCATTTTTAAACAAGTTTTCTTAAAGTTCAAGTACTGAATTGTCCACATTGTCATCTTTGGTACAGGCTTTACATGTACTTATATGTTCACTAGAGTAAAAAAT